TTAGCAAGACGCAGATATTGGCGATACAGATATTAGCAAGACACAGATATTAGCAAGACGCAGATATTGGCGATACAGATATTAGCAAGACACAGATATTAGCAAGACGCAGATATTGGCGATACAGATATTAGTGAGACAGATATTAATAAGACACAGATATTAGCAAGACGCAGATATTAGCAAGACACGGATATTGGCGATACAGATATTAGCAAGACACAGATATTAACAAGACACAGATATTAGCAAGACACAGATATTAGCAAGACACAGATATTAGCAAGACACGGATATTGGCGATACAGATATTAGCAAGACACAGATATTAGCAAGACACGGATATTGGCGATACAGATATTAGCAAGACACAGATATTAGCAAGACACAGATATTAGCAAGACGCAGATATTAACAAGACACAGATATTAGCAAGACGCAGATATTAGCAAGACACGGATATTGGCGATACAGATATTAGCAAGACACAGATATTAGCAAGACGCAGATATTAACAAGACACAGATATTAGCAAGACACAGATATTAGCAAGACACGGATATTGGCGATACAGATATTAGCAAGACACAGATATTAGCAAGACGCAGATATTAGCAAGACGCAGATATTAGCAAGACGCAGATATTAGCAAGACACGGATATTGGCGATACAGATATTAGCAAGACACAGATATTAGCAAGACGCAGATATTAGCAAGACACAGATATTAACAAGACACAGATATTAACAAGACACAGATATTAGCAAGACAAGGATATTGGCGATACAGATATTAGTGAGACGCAGATATTAGTGAGACACAGATATTAGCAAGACACGGATATTAGCGAGACACAGATATTGGCAAGACACAGATATTAGCAAGACGCAGATATTAGCAAGACACGGATATTGGCGATACAGATATTAGCAAGACACAGATATTAGCAAGACACAGATATTAGCAAGACGCAGATATTAGCAAGACGCAGATATTAGCAAGACACAGATTAACAAGACACAGATATTAGCAAGACAAGGATATTGGCGATACAGATATTAGCAAGACGCAGATATTAGCAAGACGCAGATATTAGTGAGACACAGATATTAGCAAGACACGGATATTAGCGAGACACAGATATTAGCGAGACACAGATATTAACAAGACACAGATATTAGCAAGACACAGATATTAGCAAGACACAGATATTAGCAAGACACGGATATTAGCGAGACACAGATATTAGCGAGACACAGATATTAGCGAGACACAGATATTAACAGGACACAGATATTAACAGGACACAGATATTAGCAAGACATGGATAATAGCGAGACTCGGATATTAGCGTGACACAGTAGGTCTTGCTAGTTAAAATTAATTTTTTGGCGGGGATATTTCTCACCTTACATTTTTTTATGACATTATTCAAGAATTGTTTTGCTCTCAGCCTAATTTCTATGTGCTTTACTGAATAATATGAATGATATTTTTAGGTCAGAGAAAGTTTGACTAGTACAGCATATGAGATATTACGTAGATCAACTATTCTAGGCGACAACACTGGTCATAAAGTAGCAGTTGGTATTGTTGATTTGGAGCCAGTATTTGAACATGATACAGTACCTAAGAGATCTCCACACGCATTCGTCAAAGTTATTGCCAAGAATACTTCCCAGTATGCATTGCTTCCAGGTCCAAGCAATGTGTTCTTTGATAACAACTTTGTGGCTAAGGTAAGTCTACACCTTGTAGCTAAGACGAGTTACAACTTTGTAACTAAGATGAGTTACAACTTTGTAAATACCGGG